TTATTTATAAATGGAATGTGTCTGTATACGTTTTTTTTTATGCAAAACTAAATGCATTAGTTTGTAGATGGTGTTTTTTATATGCAAACCACACTGTGTTTTTTAGTGAATCATAAGGCATTTGTAAAACTTGTTTAGTTTGTGGAGTTATGGCAGGAAATTAGCTCCATACTTTACGCGTCACTAGCAGTATGACAGTATGTGATGAAGAAAAATAGTGTGCAGTAAATAATCGTAGTATTCAAGCATAAGAAATACATACAAAGAAATAAAAAGGATTACAAATGAAATGCTAGGCGCGGCCAGTAGTTGAGTACAACTTTAAAAAAAGCTTTCTTTACCTTACTGTGGCTAAAATCACTCGAGAGCCTTAGTTGATTTTTTTAAGACTGATGTCTGACTAAAGGTACAGTGAGAGCAACCAGTATAATCAGGAGCTGACTTTATGGCCTTCTTCTGGATTATCCGGATGCTTCAGGTAAAGTAGCTTCTTATCATGATTTAGTGCTGCAGTAGTGCTTTATGAGAAGTTACTGACACTGTTTGACCTTTTGTTCGGACCACTGCACTCTCATCTCAGCGCTTGATGTGCTGTATTTAAACAAAGCATCATTAATGATTACATCCCCCTTAATTACTGTGTACACCCCACAGAAGGATGAAGTGAGTATGTTTTGGTCTGTGAAGATCAGCTGATAATGAAAGCCAGCGTATAAAGGGATGTCTGGCAGTCGCTCAAACACTTTGGTTCAGACTTACATTTCTCAAAAAATGACATTTGGTAAAGTTAGTCATGATTCCCAGAGGATGACTCCTACCAACTTTGTGGATCCACTTAGTGGGAATTCTACAGAAGAGTGATCCTTCAGGCTGGACAGACACACCTGAAGTATATGTTAACAGAACATAATGAGAACATAAAAAGATGGATCCAGGAGGATTGAAAGCAGCCTCTATGTATCACTGAACATCTACTGCAGAAACTGACCGAGCTACACAAACCCCTCCACCAACCTGGAGAGGCTGGATTTCATCAAGGACAGAGAGCTCCATCCAACATGTGGAATGAGGCACTGTCAAACTGGAGAGAGAGAGAGAGAGAGATGGGGCAGGACGGCAGATACATCCCTCTGGCTGTGTTGGGTCATGGTTGTAGGAGGGTTCGTGATGTGGTGGGGCTCCGAGCAGGGCGGGGCAGGGCCTGAGGTGGAGTGAGGAAGAGTACACAGATTCCAAGTAAAACAAATAAAACTCCAGGCAGCGTTACAACCCCTGGCAGTCAAATTAACACACACACTGTGGGCACACACACTGAACACATACACTGTTTACACACACAGTGTAGGCAGCACTCGCTCGGCGGCTGATCCCTCTCGGTCCACTCAACCAGAGAATTAAGAAAATCTGTCAACGGAGGCCGATTTTCAACTTTTAACAGTCACGCAAGGCTCTGTCATTCTTGAACTCAACCATGTTCCCGACTTTTTTTAAAAGGTTCCCTATTATACCGTTTTTCATCAATATATTATAGGTCTCAGATGTATAAAAAACATGTCTCTGAAGTGCTTCAAAAGTGCTGATTCTCTGTCTGTTACTTTTGATGAAAATAAGGAGCCACTCCCCACGCCCCTCTGAGAGATATTTGTTTAAAAAGAACACTATGGTGCTCTAGGAGGAGATTCAGGTGATAAGGTGGGCGGGTGTTACATTGGTTAGTTATTGGCTAATGGTTACACAAGCCAAAAAATCGTTATGACATCATCAAGTGGCCAAACTGATCAGCTCATTTTCAGACAGGTTTTTATAGAAATGTATCAGGACAAAAAGAGAGAGAATCTCTTTACACAGAGGGGACACATGTTTATGTATAAAAGACATGAACAAGTGGATTTTGCACAATAGGTGACCTTTAACCTTTAACAGCAAGTGCACACACAACATTTGAGCTATTATGACACTGCATCGTACCTGAGACATTAAAGCAGGCACGCACGACATGGGCAGGGCAGGTAGGTCATGAAGAGCTATTTTGCTTTAACAAAAATCTAATCTAATCTCTCTATAAGTGCCTAAGAGATCCTTACAGATTAGCAGCATCAAGCCTGAGGATGGTGTTGGTGTTCTGTAGGGTGTGGCCGTATCAAGCAGTCATGCAGTTTCCATGTTGATCAGTATCTTTATTACAGGAGGGCGTGGCCGGCTTCTAGCTTCTGAAAAGAACTTGACTCCTTTTGTTGCTGCATCATGGAAATCTCTATCCAGAAGTAGTGCTTGGTTTGGATTCCAGACTTGATCCATGTTTTTAAAGCAGGGTTTACTGACAGCATTAATCAGGGTTCATAACAATGCGGTTCTTTTGTTGATCCCTGTAGGGAACGTCTGATAACTTGCCCTGACCTTAATGGCAGGTGAAAGTTCATTTACAGGGCAACATTTCTTGAGCTGTCAGGGAGTTGTTAGCTAACATACATTTGTGTAAGCACTTCACCTTCATGTGACAATATGACATTTAACCCCCTGGATGACCTGAACAAAGCTGCATTTATGAGCAGGTTCTGTATATTTACTGTTCACACTGGAAAAGCAACTACATTGGGCATACTAAAAGGTATCTTGTACTTAATAAACATAGATTTTTGAGTGTACTGTTAAATGAACATTCTTTTTCCCTTTATGGATGCCATTACTTTACCTTTACAGAGCATGTTGTTGTTTGGTGCCATATAGAACCTTTCAATTTACATTTATTGGTCTTTGGCTATTTTTAGGGCATTTTTATACTAAATGTTAACATGACATTGACATGAAATCACCTTTTATGTTCATATACTGTAGGGAACATTTTAGCAAACAGTTGCCTATTTACACAACACAGTTACAGGATAAAACGGTTATTTAGAGCCGTGTTTCTACCCGGTGATAGTCCAATACTCCTTTTCTTTTTAACTCAATTTTTGGACTTTACCAGCTCTTAAAGGAAATACCCGGCTCTTTAGCTGCTCAATGGTCCACTACGTTCCCCATATATTCCATAATTCTGATTTTTGGTGCTTTGGTGTACATTGTGTTTTCACAGAAACAACTGCTGCGTTTGGAAACAGCGCTGATGACAGCATGACCCAAAAGTTGCAGGCTATAAAACCAACACAATGTCCCAATTTCCTCCCTGAACCCTCTGGTAAGTGCTTGGGTGAGAGAGGCTACAGACTTGAAATGATATGAATAGTGATGGGACAGCACTTTGGGACATACTGCGTTCATGTTACAATGCCAAATCAGAGACATTACGTACAGTTGTGGGTTTGGGACTTCCTTCATGGCCAGGGCAATTAAGAGTATGGTTCCAGACTTAAGAGATAGGATCTTGTCTTACAAAATGGAAAGAGGGGAAAATGTCAAATAATCAATTATCTCAATCGTATCAACACAGCATTATTGAGCAAACAATTGTATGTATTGAACAGAAGTCTAAGCTTGCGTTCTTCAAATTTCACAGGTTTTACAATTATTAATAATATTATGTTTCTTTGTACATTTAGCTTAGCACTGACAGTCCTCCTCCAGTTCATTGCCTTTCAGTCTGTGTTTTACGTCACAATGCTAGGAATTGTTAGTAATTCCCTCAGGCAAATAATGCAGAAATAGGGTATTAGGGAAAGTATGCTTGAATGGCTCAACATGTCTGCGAGAGAGCCCTCATGCTATTGATGATCTGACAGTATGTCAGCCCGTAGCCCTTGTAGTCTCAAAGTCTAGGAGACCTCGAGTGTCGTACATTGATGTTGGGCCAAAGAGCGAAAAGAAACTGTGATTTCGATTTGGTAGAAAAACTTGTTCACATGCTGTCATTTAACCCGTTGTTTTATATAACGTATAGATCTGGATAGCTTGTATGCTGATTGTATACAAACTGTAAAAACACCAAACTATAAGGGTAAGTACGATATACTAAATTGGGAAACAGCAGGGTGGAAGTTAGGCGATAGACTTGAACCGCACTGCTCTTGTTCAGCTACAAAATGCTACAGCAGGAGTGTGAAAATGTTTACCTTTATGAATGTTACCATTTCAGTGTATTATTTAAAAGAGTACAAAATGGGGGCTTTTGTGATGATTTTACAGCAAAGTACAGTAAGGTGTAAACATCACCTGTAACTGCTTTAATCTTAGTTATTGTACATCCTGATCAATAGGCAGCTCGAGCCTGACCAGCTGGTTGATTATTGGGTGCACTCCGAGGCCCTCAAACAGGTTTAGGAATGCAAGTAGAAAAGATCTTTGTGTAATTGGATACTGCTGTTAATCTGAGCAGGATTAGAGGAAATGCAGTCTTACAAAAAGTAATAAAAAAAACTCCGGGCATTAAACAAAGGTGTCTACCTGTTATTATATAATATAAGTAAGTAGTACAAATAAATAATGCTAAATTATGTTTCATTGTGTATTTTCATGATTCTTTTTGGTTCTCTTGTTGCTGCTTTTTCTGTAGTGTACACAAGCAAGCATACATACTGTTCGGACCGAGTCACAACATGCCTTTCCTGAACTTCAGGAGGAGTCCCAAGAAACAAATGCATGGCTATGTTTATAATAGCGTGTACCGTATATGCTTGATACCTCATATCAAGCCTGCAGCAAGTGACTGGCATGTTTAGACAGGAGGTAACATTTACACCATCGTTAAAAGTATGGCTGCGTGCAGTATGGACGTGTGCGTGTGCCACACACACACACACACACACACACACACACACACACACACACACACACACACACACACACACACACACACACACACACACACACACACACACACACACACACACACACACACACACACACACACACACACACACACACACACACACACACACACACACACACACACACACACACACACACACACACGTACGTGGAAAGGATATGAAATGTATTTTAAAGTACAATATAACAATAATAGACAGAATGAAAAAAAACACAAGTGCAAGGAGAGTCACGAGTGAAAGAAAATGAACTTTACAGTGTAAATGAACAGATTTGTTGCCATCAGTGACATGCACAAGCACACAGGAACACACATGTAGACAGTCACATACTCAGGTTGAGGGATTTCAGTGTGTTGAATACAGTAAATGACTCATGGCTGACAGACTGTCTCAACAGCAGAGATTTCCTGTTTGAAGTTTTAGACAAAAGTGCGTTTTGAAGTTAATCATTGATCTGTACTTCCCCTCACTAAAAAGGCACATCTACCGTTTAGAGTTTTCAGCTGAAACTGTATACATTTCCCTTTCTACAGACAAGTCAACGTTTATGCAAAGGTAAAAAAAACAGGATGTGAAATGGATTGGATTTATTTTGTTACTATTCCTTTGCACCACTGTACTTAAAGTTTAAAATGGAAACATAACCGGCGGAAGAACAAAAATACGGAGCAGAAATGTCAAATGAGTTGACCTCTGAATATGATCACCACCATCCAAGAGCTAACACCATTTAGCTTATTCAATCTTCAACTTATATAACAGAAAACACTTAAGTCATGAAGTTTATTTCTTCACCCGTCCCTTCATCTCACTTTCTTGTCACATTTCTCTCTTATATTTCTTTGGAAACATTTCATCTTTGTGTGATCAACAACATGTTATAGGACCTTTGTTCGAGCTTGTTTTATATTAATAATGACATTCTTTGGCTATTTTAGCCTCGTTGCATCCCACACAGGAGAATTAAAGACACAAGTGCAGAAACTCACAGACATTCAAATAGAATAACATACATTCGAGTACAGGTGCAAATGTAACTGTTTTGTTTTTACAGTAGAGACCGAGGGGGACAGTGCTTACTCTGGGGAGTGTTGTTTAAATCACATGCTCATTTATATTTGTTACAGAGTTGGAAGTGGGCTTTTTGGGGTAGTACTCAAAATACAGGCACCATCCTTTATTTCTCTTTAACCTCATACCCATTTTTGTTCTTGTTCCATTATTCTCTCCGTTTAGGTAAAATGACCTCTGTATATTTTATTTGTATTAAAACATTTTGAATCCTTGAACAGGATAAAGGTCAAAGTAGGGAGCCATTTTAACATCTCATCAGCCTCCACCTTCTGGGCCCTTCACAAACTGCTCCTCCTCCTCCAGTCCACATTATCATTTGGAGCATATTCTGATGTAGTTATGAACCCTCTGGAAGAACCAAAGGGTGGGGAGGAGAGTCCACAGTCCTGTTCGCCCCCCCCTCTCTCTCTTCCACCTTTTCTGTAGCCGTGACTGTGTGTCTTTCAGGGGGCGGGGGGAGTGTTTGTCCATCGGGGGTGGAGTGTGTGCCCAGGCTGGTGAGGATGTCCTGGAGGAGTTGGACGGTGCTCACTAGCTGCTTCTTCTCTTCCTCCAGCGCAGAGACGTGCTCCGTCAGCAGGACCTCCGACTGGGACAGAGCCTCCACCCGGCCCTGCAGGCTGCAGACACGAGCCTGGGACACCTGAGGGATGGTGGAAATGAACGGAGGAAAAGACAATAACATTCATACACGTTGTATATAAAAGCACATTATGAGAGCAGCTGTTCTCTACAAGGCCTAAATCATGATTGTATCTTAAATCATGATTAAGAACACAAAACATAAAAATGTTTCCATTCGTTCCACAATCAATGGAAAAAGACATTGGAAGTGTCTTGCACCGAGCAAAAGCAGTTGGAGGTTGTTGCAGAGAGCGGGGAACTGAAAGATAAGGAGATTGAAGACAGAGATTCTCTAATGGCCCCCAGAGGCTTGCTCCAAAAGCAAATATTTGTCATTAATGGACCAACCAAGTTAAAATGTCCAACATTATATCAGAAATAAACGTCTTTAGAGCCTTGTACAAAAAGTGTCTTCATTCATGACACAGTAAATAATATTGAGGTTTAAATTAAGGACGAAGCTAATTTGAGTGACAGGTGAGTAGCATCACAGGTTGCTAGCCGCTAGCTGCTCTTCAGCTCTGGTCTGCCTCATCTCTAACCATGGTCCAAAATCTTTGCACATATTTGCATTAGGCGGTAGTAGGGTAGAGTCAGCCCTGCCAAGAAGGCATTGGCCGGGGCCACACACATTGAGATTCACAACGGCTCTTTACAAAACATATGGGTGATGTCAGAGAAGCAGCCTCCATGTTAAACTGTCAATAGTCCTCATCCAAGATTGCAGTATGGCAGAGCCTTGTATGAGGACCTTACGGGTCCAAACATTCTGACAATGTGCGTATGTACCTGCAGCTCCTCGCGCAGGTCGAGGTTCTGCTGTCGGAGACTCTGATTGGTCCTCTCCAGCTGTGCTGTTCTCTGGTGTTGGTTGAGGGATGGAGGCGTGTCAAGCAGCTCATCTTGCAAGACATGGTACTCCACCTCGTAGGCCTGCAGCTGCTTGGACACATCCATCTGACAAACCTAATAAAAGTAAAAAAACTCATAAAGTTTTTACAATGTGTAGCAGCAATCTATAAACCCTGACATTTGACCTCATTGAAGGAACATTAAACCGTTAATGTAGTCTTTGTCAGGGGTTTGGCTTGGTGTGCACCATCTTTTTATACTCTGGACTCAAGAGTTCTTACATTTTACCAAAATAAATAAATGTCAACATGAGCACACCAGAAATGTTGCAAAACCACAGATAGGTAGTAATAATAAGGATATATCAGGATACACATTTCCTTTGGGTTTTCTTCCAAATAACACTAGGTTTTTGTACAACTTGTAAATCGTCTGACTATTTCTGTTTCTTTCCTCCTCAGACTTCCCATCAGCAATGTCACAATGCTCTTAGATTTCTGCACTCTAACTTTTTAAGTACAATGTTATCATTTCTGTTAGTAGGGCTGCTCGATTATGCCAAAATCATAATCTCGATTATTTGGGTCAATAATTGATATCACGATTATTAAAAACGATTATCCATTTACTTTGAAAACATCAATTTATTGGAGAAAAAAAAATTGAACGGTATGTTTTCAACAGTTGATTACCCTGAACTTTAAGTATAATTCAACTGAAAATAAATAAATAATAATTTTAAAAAAAGTCATAATAATAATAAAAAAGTTTTCTTTCGATTACGTTGTTTTCGTAATCGTTGCAAGCCATAATCGTAATTGCGATTAAAATGCGATTAATTGAGCAGCCCTATCTGTTAGTAATAGTGGCCAAACCATAAAACTATCCCTTGTTTCCTTTATTATGTTACAAATAACACAGATTGTTGTTGACTGCACCTACAAATTGCGTATGACTACATGAGAAAATAAACCACGGAGACACGTTTAACAAACGTGGATCCAAACATCCTGAAGGTCGCTCTCTGAGTCACACCCCAGGTAACATATACTGTAGACATCCTGACATGGATGGTACTTGAGGGAAAATAAGTGGTACTTGAGGGAAAATACCGGCAAGCTAGAGCATGACTTAACGCACTTTTGCTGTTTCATGCAAAAAACATGTTAACATTTTCAAAAGTACCATGATAACATCTCTCTGCATGTCTTTGACTCATCACACACTCATGTCAGCCCGTCCCGTCTCAGGTGACAGCTTATTATAGTGCAGTTACTCCATCTTGACATCAGTTTACACGAGAATGACACATAAAACAGTACAACAAGTTAGTCTGATCGTTTTTTTGAATTGTTGAACACATGTGCCTTATGTTGAAATATGCTAGTTTCATGTTCTTTCACCACAAACACTGACTCATGAGGATATGGTTAAATCGCTTGACCAAACTCCACCCATTGAAGGAGAGGGTGTGGTTCACTTTGATAACATATGTCACTCGAGATGAATATCGTTTGTTTTTGTTGCTCATAAAGCAATTGAATGCCGTGTTATCACTGCCATGAGTTGTACAAAAGGTCTTATAATGAAACACAGTGAGGAAAGTTTAGTGATGTCACTTATTCACACGCAGACATGACGAGCTGAAAGGTCACTGATCCAATAGTTATGTAACCTATGCAAATACTTTTTCAATGTATGTTGATATGTATACAGCTCAGAAAACAATTAAGAGACCACTGCCAAAATGATCAGTTTCCCTAGTTTTACTATTTATGGGTATGTGTAAAATGAACATTTTTTATTTTATTCTATAAACTACTGAGAACATTTCTCTGTGTTGGAATTCAACAGAACTGGAATAGAATGGCTTCCATACATGTAGAGATTGAGATTTAAGAAACATTTGGAGTGTCTCAAACTAACCTGCACATTCATTTGATATTTAAGGCATTTGTTTCTACACTTAATTCTTTACTATGCTTCATATCTTTCAGGGTTTCATCCGTCCAATTCTATTCTATATTTATTGAGTCACTGTTCAATTAATAAATTGAAGGGACTATCCTTATAATCTTTGGTCGAAAATAGTCCTTAACAAATCAACCAATTACTTCAGTTAGAGTAAAATGTGTTCAAAACTGCAGTACACAATGACAATAAATAAGACCAGGTCCATAAAAACGCAGTATTTGATTCCAGAGAGGGAGTCTAATGATAAAAGGAAGAGCTACACATGACTGATTGTTTCTAATCCTAACCTGGTTGATGGTCTTCTCCATCTGCACCAGGCCCAGGTTGGGCAGCGTGGTCTTGATGAAGTCCACGATGGACTCCAGGCTCTCGTGTTGCAGGATCAGAGGCTTGTGGCTTCCCAGCAAGCTCATGGCCACCTTGAAGATGACCTCTGACCCCTGCAGGAACAACATATCTGACAGGAGGACAAAAAGGCGCTGAAAGGTTATTGAAGCAAGAGAAATAACCGGTTAGAAGGGCCCTGACGTGAGAGCTTTTAGCAAAAGTTACGCAACATTAAAATAAATAATGACAGGCTCTCACAGATCAACCTACTGTGTTGATTGGTGACTTAAAGTGTTTTTTAATTGATGAATGCTTTGGCGTCAATAAAAAGATTTACACAAACATAGTCGAGAGACTGAGTGGGTGTGTGTATTTGTGTTTGTCCTTTGAATGTATCAGGGTGGGGTAAGGGTTAGGCAAGATTGCATGAGATCATTCAACAGATTAAGGAATGGGCACAGAGTTGTAGAGCCCCACATGCTGTATGATATCAAATACTTCACTTTGCTATGAACACACACACACACACACACACACACACACACACACACACACACACACACACACACACACACACACACACACACACACACACACACACACAGCGTTATGCTCAGATGAGTACGAGGAGCCAGAGAGTCTGGTTCACTAACTGAGCACCATGTAAGAAATTAGGCATGAAAACAACAGAAGGGAGGGACACAGAGGGGCTGTGGGTGTGATGGTATTTACACAAACGATAAAAGGTCATTCCGGGAGTAAGACAACAGCTTGTAACAGAAAACACTTAGTCTTAAATGTGTCTGTGTGTACGTGACTCACTGATTTTATTCATAATAATCAACGGCATAAAATGTTGGTTTATAATTTAAAAAATGTATATCCTTCTGTTTTTAACCCGCCTCCCTGTTCTGATCAAATTAGGTTTAAAATCAAATTAGAGTAGTTCATTGGAGATAAACAGTATGGTGGTGACCAGGTAAAATAAGAGTTTGAAGTATGAGTGCAGGTACAAACACAAAGCTTACCAAAGACTCTGGCCACAAAGCCAAGGGGGAAGTGCGAGGCGAAGGCGGTGAGGAACCAGGGAGTGGCGTACAGGCTGGGTCCGATCTCCTGCTGCTCCAAGTGGCTGTAGAGATCCCGGTGGTAGTCGTGAAGCAGCCGCGACAACTGGTACATCTGAATCTGACGTGAAAAACAAACCAAAGATTGTTTTTCTGAGTCTGACTGAAAGCGTTACAGTAGGTTGATTGTACATTATGTGCACATTGATGTGTGTACTAAAAAGATGTGTGTACTAAAAAGCATAACAGCTTAGTTAGGGAGGAAAAATATGCCATTTGGTTCGGAATCAGCAAATACTCAAGAAAGTGGTTTTAATATTGTTCATACAAATATGTACTGAGCTATCCCTTTTTGTAAACACAATAACTGTCTAGTATATCATTCATGACTGGTATAACCTGATCATGTATGTCTAACATTGCAGTAGTTCTATCAAAGGGCTGAAATCTGATACTAAATCATCATTCAAAACCTACACTATAGGTTTCACTGGCATGACTCCGGTTAACAGCTTGCATCAAATCTCAACCAAACTAATGGTGTCACATTGTTAAAACATGTAATCTCATCGCAATAAATGTAAAAACAAGGGGAAAAGGAGGGGTGAGATCACATTTCATGTATATATATATTGTGAGGTGAATAGACTGATGGATAAATGGACATATACTGTAAGAAGAAAGCGACCAGAAGTCCTCTCTTTGATGTAATTCAAGTATGCGAGTAACAGTGAGAAGATTCTCAAAATGTGAGCTGCTGTATACAGTATTCTGCATTTGGGACAAAGAGACTCAGCGTGAGGGTGTGTGACTTTTACCTGTAGGATTATCATGTCAGGCCTGTATTGTTTGCGGAGCCCCACGTCATACATGAGAAACTTAAGCATGTAGAAGGCGTCCTCTTCCCCCAAGTGTAGCAGCAGCACTCCCGCAATGAAGGACAGGCCCTGGCAGTAACCCACCTACAATCACAACAACACAAATAAACTGGATGACCTCACAGACAAGGAGAGGGAAAAAGGCTTAAGCGTAAAATGTAGTAGACAGTTCCATTTAGTCCATCATCGAGAGAGGTGGAGAGACACACACAAAAACAAAGTGGAAGAAAAATAGCTATAAGAAGAATTCAATTATACCTCAGGGTCCAGCAGCGAGTAGGCTTTCAGTAAATTATACAGAGACAGCTGTCCTGCTCCCAGCTGGGCTTGGAAATAAGGATGTGTGGGAAAAGTGCGACCTGGGACCAAAACAAAAGAAGAGTGAGAAATGATCTAGTTTGGAAAATAATCTACACTGTTAATATTTATTATAAAATGCTACGCCAGACATCGTCTCTATTTGATCAACCTAATACATTTGGTTTATTGGATTGTGTCTGACATACCTCTGTAAAAAATCCAAGTGAACTATAAATAAGGCCTCTGGGTGTGTACTGTATGTGTGTTTGACAGATGCATACAAATCCTGCTAAACTTTGCACTTTCCTGTTAATGTAAACAAAGGGGATGCATGAGCACGTGCCGACCCATTCCAATAGGTTATGCTTACACACGTTCATGTAGACAAACACCTTTAAGCAGAGACCTCGTACTCTATGTGGCGGTGTATGGGCAAGTGCCTGACAAAAAAAATGACCCGGGATCAGAAAAAGGACATTCTTAACGTGGAGGGGCCGGTAATTTGGCAGGTACGGTATGTGTATTTAAGGACTAAGGACTTCTCACAGGCTTTATAGAAAAGAGGAATGATCTGAATGAGTGTGAATGCGTGGAATGTGCTGTGGGGGGTTTGTGTGTTTGTGAACATAATGCCACGGCTCCCTCCCCTGCCTGAAGAAACGAGGCTTTGTGAAAAGGCTGTTTTGATGAACAAGCCTAAATTCTTATTCCTCTTGGCTATAGATATTGACCTATGACTATAACGACACATTTGCATTCTCAACCTGCAAACCTCTCTGCTGCTTCAGTATCGTAGACGCTGTTTGCTTTTGTCCCTCGACACATAACACTTTCATGTTTTCCACATTAGCAAACTGTCACTGTCACATTCGTCCACACCCTACTGTATTTGATGTAGACGGAATCAAATGGTTGATGTGTATCTGTATGTATGTGGGTGTTACATGGGTGGGGTGTAGGCACTGTGTGTGTGTTTTGGGTGGGAGGTGTTAGGTGGATTTGAAGGCAAAACATTAGAAGGAGGTTTTAGACATTTTAAATAACATTCGCAGTGTTTCTGCAGTTCACCAGAGGTTACCACATTTACTTTGAGACTTTCTAAGACCTTTTTGAATATCACAAGAGAGTCAGAGACTGAGCTTTGTGCTTTTCAGGCAGATTTAACAATAATTCTTAGTGATGGACGCAAACGAAAAATTAAAGCAGGGATCAATTGATAAAAAAGTTATTTGGTTAATGTACATTTTTGGTCAAATCTTGTACACGTAACAGCTTCACAGTTACTATTTCTGTCATACAAGTAAACATATTAAACCCAATTTGAAATTAAATGTAAGACTTTTAAAGACCTTTAAGGCTTTCTGTTGAGGTAACTTTGTTCTGTGCTTTAAGACTTTTCGAGACGAGTAGATACCCAGTCTGCAAAATGTAGGAGTTATTATTTGTGTGCTTTGATAAGGGTGGCTGATATATTTAATATACTCAATGTACTGCAGCTTGTTCTAAGTGGGAAATAGTAAATGACTATATGCAAAATATGAATTGTCACGTCTAAACATCAACATGTTGTTTATGAGGCTTATCACTAAGCCCTAAGTTGTGCAAAGGGTAACATTCATCTGTGTTTTACTGATCTTCCCATATGGTAGACATTTCTAGGTGTGTCTGAGCTACCCAGGTCTATGAGGATGGCGTGTTGCTGCGTGGTGAGCTGTTTCAGTAGCTCTTTGTATGGCGTGTGATTGGTAGGTGGTCTGGATGGGACCGTCTGCCTGAGCAGGTATTGTTCAGACAGAAACTTCCAAATCTCGCCTCGATGTTGCCTGGGGACACCTGTCAAAGGATGACAAGAGATTAAGGAGTTAAAGAGTGGAGTAGGGCGGAGGGGGATGACATGTCAGCATGCGTTTACATTAGACATATTTCTAACAGTAGTATACAAATCTAAAGAACATCTGACGTCGGGTCTTGAGAATATTTCAAACTTCAGGGGGCTTGGGAGACTCAAAGCAGCCTCACCTTCCTGTAAACATACCCTAGTAATTATTCTGAGAGTTAGACAGTAGAACATTTTTCTAAAAAGTGAGGAGACATAATGTTCTACAGTATTTTTCCTCAAGCGTGGACCTTCTTTAACATGTACAAATATTCTAAATAGAGCAGCTATTTGCATGCAAGGTATCTGCAACAAATATTTGTTCACATTACTTTAATCCTATGGAGAAACTGTATATTTAGTGCAACACACAATTACCAATGTGCTTATGAAAATAAAGAGCTTAAGTGCAAAGGAATGTAATCTTCAGCATGTAAAGCGGAAGGATGTTTGTGCGTGCTTTACTTCTGTGTGATCATTTTCGGCCTAATTTTACATCATTACTAGCTTTAGTGGCTACTTCAGTTCTAAGACAACTATTTATTGTCCAGTGGCATTTCTCAGTGTGCAGGTTTGTTCTGAACTTTATATGCCCCTGTTACGTTTAAGGTCGAAGGCAGAAGAGATAACCTTCAAGTCCTCTGAGCATAACATGCTGATACTAGAAAATGGAAAGAGCAGAAAGCCGTGACAATGTCTGAAAGACACTGAAGGGGGGGGGTCCTTCCTTTTGATGTATATTGAAAAAGGGCCCAAGTAGATTATAAGGACGAAAATTAAAAAGTCCTTTACACATCAAGTTTTGGTCAATCTATTGAGATTAAAACATTTGATATACAGTATGTATTTGATCCAAATACATACCTTGCGCAACAGCAGCATGTATGGTGTCTGAGTCAAATTTGACCTTTGCCCTCCCAGGAGTTCCTAGCATCTTCTCCCACACCAGCGTGACGTCCTTCAGGCACGGAGTGATTTCCTCGTAGTCCAGCTTCAGACGCTTGTTCTGCAGATCGCTCTCTGTGGCTACGAATATAAAAGCAAAGACAGAATACGTCAGTAAAGTAACCATCCCAGAATCCTTGGCGTTGGTCCTGTAGTGTGTGTGTTTGGAGCTGAGGGGCTTAACATGTTGCTGAACAGATGCCAGTGTGTGTCTCTCTTCACAAACCCCGTTCATTTAATGTTAACTCTTTGGTTTAGGTTTTGCACTCTTTTACTTTCATAAATAACTGACAGGCCCTCTTTGTTAAGGCAAACAAGCCTGTTATTACATGACATCCGTGTGAAGGAGACTTGGACTTTAAAGCTCAACTGAATAACCTCGTTCGCTAAGAAGAAATGAATTACATTTCTTTTTAAAATGAATCCCTAACTTTTAAGATGATATTAAACAAGCAGGCCAGGCCAAATACACTTTATGAGTAAAGTTGTGATTATGTAGTGGCTACATTTGTTCATGAGAAAAGAGGCTCACCAATGCTTATTGATGATATTAATCAGAATTGAGTAAAGCACCATGTTTAAGGTTTCAGTTGATTATTCAAACTTGCAATTACTGTTATTTTACACTTTTGGTCTATGTTGCGAACACAACATGGATATATATATTTTTAAGTTGATGAAGCAAACGGTGGCCATCCACACATCCAGCCGCTACAGTGTAACATTATCAGTCATTTGTGTTCCTGGCCACCTGGTGAATGTAAGTCCAATATTAAACTTAACTCCACTAACTCCTGAGGGAAATATCTGGCTCCATCGCTGCTAAATATTTTCACAATGTGTTCACCAGAGGTTAACACGCCTGTATTTGTTAATCAGATCACATTCTAATTTGGGGGGTGTTACCATGTTGTATATGACCCACAGAGAGTAAACTGAGCAATACCAAAGATACTTTGGACATTACTATTAAAAATCATCCTGCTCTGTTGTAATAAGATATTCTTTTGCTTTGCTCAATACATTTCATGACCCTGAGGTTACCGTGCACGGGCTGTAAACTGAACAAAAACTGTGAATTCCGTTTCAACATGTTGACACCAGTGATCAAAGAAGGTGAGGGTACACCCAGCTCCCCTCGTCTGTTCCTCTCTTTTGTGACAACACCCTTCCTCTCTTTCCTCGCTTACATCTTAAACCATCGCCTTTCTTTTTCTCTTTTCTGCCTCCATTCACAGTAAATCTTTCTTCTTATTCAATCCCACATTTTTGTTGTCCGTGAACTATTTTCCCATTTCCTCCTCCCTCCTCTTATGGACTTCCCCTCCCTCCCCTCTCATGTGTGGTGTCCACCCAGTGACCAGCTGCACCTTGGTAGAGCCTGAGAAAAAGTGACATCATCATTACGGGACAGGAAAGAGACAGCAGTCCTTTTCCTGTTACATCCTGCGATGACACTTTTCAGGAAACAGAGGCAAACTAAGGTGTTTTCCAACATGTGGAATGCATGTATTTGCATACAGGCGTGTCGACCCCTGTTATCAAGGGGTTTCTGTATACCACCATTTCAATTCTTAGGATAAGACAATCTATTCCTGTCAGCTGTGCGCTAAAAAATGCATAGTGGAAATTGATGTCATGAAAGCAATGTTGTCGGTGTTTGAAACAATGGAATTTTTGTATTCAAAAAGGTTCTATGTACTGAATGCAATAATGTTTTGAAAATTACAAAAGATTTATTTTCCATTATGTGACTTCAAATATCATAAGATCAATAATATATATATATTTTTTTAATAAAGAAAATAACAATTAAAAACTATTTCAACTCACACATTAATGCTTGACACTACGTTGGCTTAGTGTGTATGGTTACTGTACACCAGTAACACTGACAATATGTTATTTTGTTGAAAAAAAAAAAAAAAATGTTTGAAGTTGTGATTTGATTTTAATCTATGAAGGTAGATAAGAAAATGGATTCTTACACAAAAAGACTATTTCCTCCAACCCTACTTGTATCAGCAACATTTTTATCAAAAAGTAGTTCACACTAAAATCCAGGCAAACAACTTGATACAAGATAAATCGAGAAAATCTAAAGCCATCTAAAACTTTAATGTGGTGCTGCATATCATTGCTTTAGAAATGAAAGAAGTAGCGGGAGTAACCTGGAAGGCGTAGTCTGGATAATAAAAGAAAGAAAACTTGGACGGAAAGGTTATCTGACACACCCAGAGCAAGAATAGATGCTCCCGTTAGTCTTATCAGCTGATTGGCTGCAGCCCAGAGAGCGCTCAATTTCTCTAAATTCTCCTCCTGCTCTCCATTTCTCTCCCATTCTGTCGACGGAACACTCCACTCAAGATAATACACACCACAAGATAGGATACCCCACCCTGAAGCTGACAAAGACAATGATGGAGGCGTACACACACACACACACACACACACACACACACACAGTTTGAGAGATAAACAGAAATAACACACACACACACACACACACACACACACACACACACACACACACAGGATACCCCACCCTGAAGCTGACAAAGACAATGATGGAGGCGTACACACACACACACACACTTTCAGCAGTTTGAGAGATAAACAGAAATAACAGACACAGAGTTGAGCCCCACCCAGACAAATAACGGATAGAAAGGTGGAGTACACCCAGCAGGAAGAATCAAACACAAATGATATACGTTCAAGAAAAGCTGCCACATGCTGCTAATGCGTGTGTTAGTGTGTTTTTATGTTAGTTCAGTGTGTGTGTGTGTGTGTGAAGTTATTGCCCGGACTTGTTTTTGATCTTTCATCAATATTGACTGACATTCTCTCCATCCACACCCTGTTATGAAGCAATGATTTCTGTGATCCGTGTGATCGATGAAGTGTGTGTGTGAGAACTAATGGTAGGTATACAGAGCAGGTAGTTAGGGGGGTAGTGCACAGTGAGGTGTGTGTTGATCGGTGCCAACTGGGTCAGGAAAGAGGTGGAGCACTTGGCAAACCCTTACGAACGCCTCCAAGTTAAAAACACACGCACACCTATAAATTATATAACCTTAAATATGCGATGGTTCCTAACATTAAGAAACAACCAGCGGTGCACTTGACAACCCGATCTCTTTGAGTGCACATCTGGAGAGGCAAGTTGCCTAAGATGGATTAAAGAAACCAACTCGTAATGTAATTCAACATCATTAACTCATGAATTACTAGCTGCTGGTCTTGTCATCATGCAGACAGACAACAGATCAAATCCTACTTTGCAGAACCAGGCAGCAATAATACGTATTCTGACTCGATAACAAGGTAGTGGCTTAGATAAAGAATAAATATCAAGGGACTTTGTTTTATGTGCATTTTTGATCATTTCGTACTTCCTAATTTATATGACCAAATATGTATATGCTGACAGTTATTTTACTCTTATTTTTACTCATCTCCTATTTCATAGTCTTTTATTATTATCATTTAAAAAAGATTTCTTGATTTTTTTTCTAATTTTATTAATCTGTGTGAATCTGTGCTGTCCTGTTTTTCACTCTTACCCTGTTGCTGCTTGTACAACTGAATTTCCCCACGGGATTAATAAAGGTCCATCTTATCTTATTTGCATTTAAAAGATCTAGCTTCCAGGATTCCCTTCAAAAGCCTGGCAGATGTCCAAGTGTTTGATTCATTTTGAGAGGAGACATTGGCATGTATAATTGGATTTATCCCTTTTACAGAAACATTCTGCACTGTGATGTTGGTGAATATAAGATCAATAAGAATGATACGGCTGATAAGTGGATCTTATGTTCACTTGTCTGTAAAGTGTATATTTGAGCAGTTTTGTTTATGGACATGTTTATAAGAACAGGAAAAGGCTATGTAGGCGTGTGCATTTGTCTGTGTTTTGATCCACTTCTTCTCACCCTGCAGCTTCTGGTTCTCCCTCTCCATCCTCTGGAGCAGGATCTGCTGCAGGATGGCCTTCCTCCAGAGCTCCCTCAGGTCCTCTTTGCTCTTTTTTGTCCTCCACTCCGGCACCAGCCTCATGGACAAGTCCCCATTTCCTCCAACTCCCTGTCCCATGCACACTCGACCCCCCTCTAGGCAGGATTCCCCCAGCTCTGAAAAACAAAGCAGAATATAATGTCAGGTCAGGTGTGATCACGCTGCATGACGTGTCCAATGCAGCAGCAGGACACAGAAAAGATAACACAGAGATAACCTGTAGGGAAACAATTCTCCCCCAAACTCAATAGTAAGCATCCTCAAATATTTAAAAAAGAAAATGAAAATCTCAAAATATTAATCTGGGAAAATAAAGAAAGCTGCATTTTTGCAGGACAGTTTGTCCCTGCCTGCCTCAGTGTGAGGGAATCGGACTGACCTGCTACACCAGGTCTCACGTCTTTTTTAAAAGTTGTATTAATGTATTATATGACTTGAATTCATTTTTCCTTCCTTGTAAAAAAAAAAAGCTTTAGCAATACTGTATATAATTATGGTCATGCTAATAAACCTATTGAATTGAAATTGAATTGAGAACACTAAAACCCATATAACAGTCCTATATGATCAAATATAAGAAGTTCTAATTGTAATATTTATAAGCAGGTGGTGTGAAACAGCAATGTGCTCGGAGATTGGACATTTCTAGACTGAATTGACCTTTTTATCTGGGGGAGACTCTTTTCTTTTTACTTCAACAATCGACCCTTATCCCTCAGTCATTTCAATATGCAGTCATTCATCCGATGCTCATGCAAAAGAGAATAAGAAAGGCTAAACATAGATCTATTTGACACAGTTGGTTGCAACGCACTCAGTAAAAAAAACTAATGTTTGTGTGACTCCACCCCAAAGTACAGGGTGGATCCCAAACCTCAAAATACCGTGTGTTGTTTTTGAGGAAGAACATAACAACTACCCAGATAGCACTTCTCTTTCAGTTCACAGGAACATCACGGTTCAGGTTGCTCATGCTCACACACCTAAGCCTGGCGTAGGTATGTCAATTTGATGCTTATCTTTCAAAAAAGGAGGAAAACTAAAAATGTGCCAGAAAGGTTGTCTCTTCAAGCATCAGAAACAAAGACAACTACTGTGTACTGACATCTACAATACACACTCGATGACAATAGTGATCTTTATGCCAGCAGGTGAGGTTAACATTAATGCAGCCTTTGTGTCTGTTTCAGGGAGGCGTGCCGTCACTATACAGACATATGGCTCTTTGGTTATTCTTCCCCTTCTCTTAAAACCAGACATATGACACAGACAGACAGCGGCTTTCTTAAGAGACCTGACTACTTGTTAGACAAACACAGACTTCTATACTGTGTCAACAGCTAGATTTTTTATGTATGCATGCACACACATATACTTATCCTGCTTATTTATAGCCAGTGCCTCAGTCCCTTACCTTAACCATAGGAGCTAATGGTTCTGTATACTAATCTTAACACTAAACCATGTCTTAATAACAAAAATACCACACACGCGCCACACACACTAACACACCGTGTCATGATCCACTCCCTGAGCAAACACTCCAATTTCACCAAAACCAAGAGCGCACACATACACAACATGCAAAGTGGGTCAACAAGGCTGGCGATTTCCTCTGGCGCTGCCTGTGTGTGGACTGTCAACATGACACACACACACACACACACACACACACACACACACACACACACACACACACACACACACACACACACACACACACCAAAGTTTTTCCTTTACTTCATCACAGCTGACCGTCAAAATAAACTTCAGATCCAGATTTAATAATGACGAGGAGAAATGTTTGCCTGTTTCGTTTGAAAGGGAAACTTGCGTGCAGAATGACAGGCCTAAACCTCGCTAATCCCTTCTGAGTTCATTGAGAATGTGGATAAAAGGTCACATAAGTGCCACATTCCTCGTGCACTTATTATATTAGACCCAATCACAGAATATTGAGCCGTGTGTACAGAAGTGAACAAATTACACCTTACAGTGTAATGTAATATATGCAAAATTGAAATTATCTTTCTATCTTTGTTGAAATAGAGGTGTTAATTAAACTGTATGGAGTTGTTTGTGGTTGGTGTGCGTCGAGTAGAGCATTTTAGACTTTGTCACCGCCAAGTGGTAGAATCTCATTTGGGATTTAGCAATCCAGTTTCTGGATTTGAGTGATAATTGTTTGCATTTACTAATATTTTAGATTGTCTTAAAAAATATATATACATATACATATATAAATTGTATATAAAAGAGGCATTAAAGTGTCTGTCTGAATTGAAACGGATATATTATGTAATGTGTCAATAGGGGCAAAGTTTAAGACAATAATGATAGTGTTCATCTCTAAATGCTTATAAACAATACTACAACAATGACACTAACTTATAAAAAGTATCAATACAATTATAATAATGATACAGTCTTCATAACTTTGGTATTGATTGCATGATTGCAACATTATAAATTGCTTCATTATCTAAATTCATTAATGAAAATGACTCAATTTATTTATTTTTGCCATTACGCTCTAGGAGTTTTTTTTTTACTGTGTTTGATACCAACCCAACTATCGCAACTGTCAAAACTTATTTGGTTCACACGGAAAAACTATGATACATATAATTATCAGCACACAGGATCTGAACACGCAAGCACATGCATGATCAGATTCTTACACACACGCAAGTTTGTATAGACATATACTGAAAACAACAACAATTTCCAGCCTCAAGAATATTTGACAGAGCTGTAAATCTCCATGCAGACATAGTCTGGTACTTACTGTATACTGGCCCAAGGCTTTAAGACTTCTACTGACATTAAATTAATTTCAGACCAGCCAACAGTGTCATACATTAACCCTGTATAAAGAGATATGACTGATAACAGTCAGAGCAATGTGGGCTCTGAAAATGAAATCTTTCACAGCTCCAAAACAAGCACTTGACGCCACAGCAGCATTTGTACATGTCAATCAATCACAGTCTGATAACCAGTGGCGTCGCCTGGCCTGGGCATCCGGGGCTTTAGCCCCGAAAGTTTTTTCTGTAGCCCCGTACAATTCTCCGTCAATAATATAATACATTAACCGTGCTTTACGTTAACCTCATCATGACACAAGAGAGGACGGCAGGAATGTAATTTCCCGTGTTCAGTGAATGCAACACAGAGGCATGACACCAGACCAATCAGAGAGTTGCATGGAAATAAACGTGTGCTTGTGTCATTCAAGCTCGGCTCACTGTGTGTGTGGCAAATAGCGCATTTAGTGTGATAGAGAGAGAGAGAGAGAAAGAGGAGAGAGAGAGGGAGAGAGGGAGAGAGGGACCGGTGCCAGCAGCAGGGACCGTGTTGTTAGCATCTGGTTAGCTAGCTGCACTAACGGACATAAGGAGCTGTTTGTTCCACGACAAGCTGGAGGAGAGTCCTCTCCTCTCAGACTGAGAGACTCAGGTGAGCTAAAGGACTCTCTCAGGGTTTAGATAGTTAACTTTAGTCTAAGTTATCTCAGTGGTTCTCAAACGGTTTGGTCACAAATTATTCAAAAGATTATTTCCGCGGCACACCTTCATATGATCATTGTAGTTATTAAAAAAATAAGAGAATAAAGGAAAAACAGTTATGAAATACTATATGGCAGTAAAACAAGAATACAGTTTGAAAGGGGAGTGATTTGTAAAATATCCATAAAGAAAAAGTTTCATCTGGGTGTTGAGAGATGTATCCCTAGATCTCTTAATGTTGCTCTCAAAGTGCACCAGATTGATGCTTTTAACTTCAATATTTAAAAAAAATCTTCCCGGGGGAGCATCCCCCCGGACCCCCCTAGAGGAGGTGAGGTCCGCTCCCCACTCGTAAAAAATAGCGTGTGGGGAGTTTTTTTGTGCGTGCTCTATAGTGCCCGTAATAGTGTTCACTGGAGTCCAGCACCTCAGCACCCCCACTCAAAATACCTTCCTGCGCCTCTGCTCAAAATGATTACCTAATACTGCAGCAGTTGTATGGAGCTTCTTAACATTACTCAGTTCATTGTTTCAGTTTTAGGGCCCACATCTTCACTCTTTGGGTTCACTCTCTGCCCTCTCAACATGCTGGTTTCCAGCAGCAGATAACTCACGGTGCTCCACCTGCTCTGAAGCACTAAAAAGCCCCTTTAGTTCAGGTTTATCATTCCTTTAAGGGTCATTGTAACTGTTGATAATACCTATCATGATAATCATACCAACAGTATAATACAGTGAAACCAGGTTATTTTCTGAGATGCTTATCATGAAATCCACTCCAGCCAAAGGGGAATATGTTCACCCATAATCCATCATGTGAGGCCTTGAGTATGACTTACTTGGAGCTATTGGCAGCTATATGTTTGTTCAAACCAACAATGGCATGGTTCGCATGGATTCTGCAAAAGAATCAAGTCTTTTCATTGAGGGCCTGTCTGTTTCCAAAGCCCATGTGGCTCATGGGGTACCCAGCCAAAGGTCAGTGGTGGGATGATGATCAGTATTTGCTTAGGATGGGCGTCATCACTTGTCTCAACCAATGAGAGCATAGGGGGCGGGACTAAGACTGCAGCAGTGCTCAGATGAACCAAAACAGAAAATAACTGGCAGGTAGAAACATGGGTCTCGTTGGAATTGTCAGTTTAGCTTAGGAAGGTTCCTAACTTAGTGAGATGACCTAGAAGTACCTCAGTGGCAGCCATGATAAGAGCCGTTCGAATTCTCTAGATCAGCGGTTTTCAATGTGTGAGGCGCGCCTCCCCGGGGGGGCGCCAGAGAGCTTCAGGGGAGGCAAAGCGTGAGAAAAAAATTACGAGAAACAGTGAAATCTAAGTTAACTTCAGCTAACTTAATGCGAGCGGCAACATGGATCGATTTTTTGTGAAGTTACCTAAAGTGAGAGAGGAGACAGCGTCGGGCAGAAAATGTCACTTGCACACTTTTGGCTGTCTGTGGAGACCGAGTTCCCCCACCTCGCCAAAAAGGCTGTAAAAGTGCACATTCCCTTCACCTCCACCCAGGGGCGGACTGGCCATCTGTAGAATCTGGAGAACCACAGAACGGCCGGTCGGCAAGGACCGTTACCGGCCGGCTCGGTTCGCTGACGGCCGGCACCCCTGCAACATCGAAGTTGCACTGACAGACGACAGAGGTTCACCGTTTCCCCGCAGCGAGGCTCCCCCCCGTTGACAGTTCACGAGCAACAATAATAAGAATTATAATAGCGATAATAATTGGGAGGGGGGCGCGGCTGTTCTTATGTTCTCTGAGGGGAGGCTCACCTTCTCACACTTTGAAAACCCCTGATCTAGGCAAACCACCAATGTAAAAAAAAAATACAATAAAACCTGCAACAGAACATTATCTCTATCCTCTGATATTCCTTTGTCATTATAGCACTATTAGACCGACAGAGATGCTGCCAACACACACACCATACCAAAAAAAAGCCAGTAGACTAAGTGCAGTATACTGTATTCAAACAGACCTACACCAAAGCGCTTTCAGAGAAATACACACACAATAATGACAGCCCAACACAGGAAACAAAGACGGAAGGAGGAAGAGAAGGTGAGAGGTGTGTCTAGGCGTTTGTTAGCACTGGTTGATCTTTTATACCATAATGAAAAAGTTGTGACCATGAATCGTAAACAACAATGTTCAAGTGTAGACAGGAAACTTTTCAATGTGATCCTTCAAATGGGTATAAGATCAACAGTTGATTTCGTGTCAGACTCAACTAGTCCCCTAAACAATCTTTGCTTATCTCAATGTCAGCTCACCCATGTGTTCTGTCCTGCAGAGCCCCCAGCAATAGAAACCCCCTCTCAGCTCCCCGATGAGGCGCCAGAGAATACCCCCAAAGAGAAGAGGAAGAGAAAGAATGGAAAAGAGCGGGATCGTTCCAAGGGGGAGAATAAGGAGGAGCAGGGGACGACACAGGGCAAAGCAGCCAAGGAGAAACCCCGGAAAACACCCACCCTTACCCAACCAGTGACAGGTAACCGCTGCCTCTCCCGTGTTAGGAAACATGTAGTTAGACTGATTTAAAAATGCTTCTTTCTGCAACATTTGGTGTTTAATTGAACCGAAATGTGATAAGGACAACTCCCTTTTAAGCAGGAAGTTAAGCAGGTGATCTTAAAGAACGTCTGGCCACCATTGTCTTCGGCTCAGTTAAGGAACAAGAGGCTTGAGCTCAGTAAATGCTGGTTTGAAATGTGATGACAGTGTTTACACAGGGGTGGGACAGGTAAATGAAAGGATAATGACAGACCCTGTCTTTCAGCTGCAGGGCGCATGTGTCCTCTCTCTCTCTCATAATCAAGAGGAACACACACATCCACATACGTGGAAACTTACTCGTCCATTTTAACACCTACGCCTACCTTTTGCCTGCCTAAATGCTTTGAGCCATCTGCTTCCGGATTCAACACCATCCATTTACCAATATACTTATTGGTACCACTTTACAATAAGACTACCCTTATAAAGAGTAGGGATGCACCGAATATTCGGCCGATAATTAAAAAGGCCCTTTCGGCTTTCGGTACGGTTACGTTGGTAAACTAACGTGTTGTTGTGATGACGTAATCAAAACCCGGCGACAAGCACGGCGCGCCGACCATTGCTCGCGCTGGCTCACAGCCACAGGCTGGGCGCTGGGAGATATTTAAACGATCGGGAGAGGCGCGGATGCGATTGTAAAACGGTCAGCGACATTCTTTCGAGGGGGGACACCTGCCAAGCTTGCACAATTCGGGTACTCCACCCTTGAAATCAAAACACCCGGACAAATATGCGGGTACGTCACACACAGCACTGACACGAGAGACGTTCAGCGCTGCCTCCATGTGCCTTGATGAGAGAAGGAACAGACTTATGGGCTGATAAAGCAGGAAGCTGTCATAAAAAAAGAAACCTCCCACTTTTCCTTAATTAAGTAGACAAGCGGCTTATCATAGCTTATCTATTCTACAGTCTCACCTATACCCACTTCCTGAACCAATTCATTGTGGTTATAAATTCCACCATCTCAGGTTTTCATTAGGGGGAAATGACAGCACACAGTGTTCAATATATGCACTTTTCGGTATCGATGATCATTTGTTTACATTGCTCATGGGACAGACTACCCCGATTGCAATTTCTTGAATTTGTAAGCTATTGTAATGCTTGTGGATTTGTACCGTTTTCACCTTTATTCTTATACCAGTTGACTACTTTTTGTTATTTGAGGACAGACGCCTATAAGATTCTGAAAATTGAATTGAATTTCATTGTAAAATAGTTACCATTTCATGTGGATTTAATCCAGTTGCACATTGTATGCATCACTTATAGTCATTTGTTGTTGTGAGCCTGGGCTTGTTAACAAGTCTTATTTTACACTATTTTGTTGAGCCTACTGCCTAGATGTTATCGTTTAAGCACTTGCTTGTCTGAAGGCCTTTGTCTAGTTATCCTACAGAGAAAAGGAAAATGCACTTGACTTGGATTAATGTACTGTAGCATTCCAAAAGTGGCTGATAATGTTGAGGGACCCATATAGGTGATTATTATTTAATACGTTGCCATAATATGCTCGTTTTCCAATCAGGACAGCGAACACAGTGGTAAAAATGTATAGCATTAATATATATATATAATACTACTTGTCTATTAATATTTTCGGCCTTTCGGCATTCGGCCACTGTTTATATTTTCGGTATGGTTTCGGCCAAGAATTCCCATTCGGTCCCCCTAATAATAAGATTTTACGAATAGTGTGTATTAAATTAATTAATTAGGGTTGCTGAACACGTTAATAATCATGTAATTAGCCACTTTTATATGACATGAGATAAACGGGAAGGCTGGACCGGTATGCTTGGCCAAATAGTGAGCCCACAGTTCATCTGTAATGCTAAAGCTTATATTGCTACCTAGCTTACTTTGTCTTTCATCAGCCCAGCATACTTGTATCTGTTTGCTCGCTGAGTTGTTCCCCGTAATCCTTCTTGTGTTTCTTGGATCCTTATGACATTTATGAATTAGTTATTACATTTATAATGCCAAAGGGAGCTTATTGTACATAGTGTGAAACACATCACCATCTATTGATGAGTCACTACATGTATAATCGACTGAAGGGTGGTGTATTTTTAAGTATTAATACACATGCCCATTTATGAATGAGCTATATATTCTTGCTTACCTACTACACCATTTCACTGAAATGAAAGGTAGATGCAACAGACCAAGCAAAAATGATTTTTTCACACATGAGAAAATCAAGACTCAAGTAATGGAACTGGTTTAGTATGAATGATACACTATTTAAACATAAAAAACTTTTCTCAGACATAGAATGAAAAGACTCTGTAAGGATAATGGTTCAGACTGGAAGGCTTTGTGTATATTCTTGAACAAGCGTCAAGGCAGCAGTCCCATGCAGGGTGACTAGAGCCAAGCCAAGATGACCATTCAAGAACTTGAGGTGTTCTCCACAAACTCTCTGTAGGTTTCCTCTCAGATCCTACGGACATGTCCTTTGACGGTCGACCCAAGGCTCTTTGGATATGACGCCAGTCTGGGGGTTCACCAACAACCTGCTGTGGCGTTTACTGGTCGTAGTGGTTGTACACCATGTTACTCAGACTCTCCTTATGCCTCCACTCATCACTAGTAATGCACTTCCTGACTTAATATGCCGTCTCAATTCAGAGGGACAAGGTGGCATCTTTGATCGTTTCTCCACTAGTTTCACATAGTCTTCGAATTTGTCTTAACTCCGATCTTCCGAAGACCATTTCTTCCTTCTCCAGGTATGTCCAAAGCGTCCAACACAAAATAAATCATAAATATCTTAGTTATATAATGAANCCATCAAGGGCAGCTCATTGTGGAATAGCCTTCCAACTGAGTTACGGGATTGTCCCACTTTGAACAGTTTTAAGGTCAACTAAAAGAATGGTTGAGAAAAAAACAAACGTGCAATCACCGCTAAATGCACTTTAACACAGGGGTATCTCCTTTTGCACTTGATGTAGCTCTTGTATCTCCTCTTGCACTTTATGTGTCATATCTGCTACATTACTGCCATGTGGTAAATACTTGTGTATGCTGCTCATGCTCTTTCTGCATATCATGTATTTATTTGTGCTATGTATATAAATGTCATGTTCTTAAATGTTGTATGTGAGGGACTACGGATGGAAATGAGCTCAAAGCTAAAATCCGGCATGTTTACATTTTGAAGCATTAATTGTTAAAAATCTTCATCAATGTGCACTGTCCCTCTTCAAATAAACGATGAAATGAAATGAAAGCTCTTTGGTGCACACAGACTTGCTTACACTCACCAAATGGGGGAAAAACTATCTGACTCTTTGGTGCCAAAAAAAAGTGTAAAAAAGTCTCTCCATAAAGGTGTACTCAAACGATATTCACAATTGCCTTCTTGGGCAAATTGTGCAGTTATTTGTGGGTACAAAGTCACCAGTTTTAATCCAAGGAAATATTCTTATAGTAAGGATTGATCTTTTCTTTATAACTTACCAAGTAACAAAATAACTGTTCAATACTGCAGGGAACCTCGCTTTGAAAAGAACAGTAACTCTCTTTAGGACTGATAAATAAGTAAGACAATGACATTATAGTACTTCAAAGGGAACATTACAATCTATCTTTGAGCGTGTCCACTCTCACCGTTTGATTCTGTGTTTTTCTGAGGTGTCGCGACCCGGAGGAAGATCTGCTGCCTCCAGGAGTGCCGATGGCCTCGCTGAGGACTTTCCCACATCCCACATGCTTCATTAGGTATAGACAGAGCGGCTACATCTCTGAAACACAAGCAAGCACACACAGGAATAGTTACCCAATATGGCCTGGTAAACATTCAGTAGGGCGTAGTTCACACACACACACACACACACACACACACACACACACACACACACACACACACACACACACACACACACACACACACACACACACACACACACACACACACACACACACACACACACACACACACACACACACACACACACACACACACACACACTATGTTTGAAATCGAGACATAAAATCAGTTTAAGTGACCCATGAATGAAAGAAGCACAGTTTACTGGACACACTTATATGGACATCACTGTTAGCTGTACATGTGTGTGTACCTGCTCTTTGGCTCAGGAAAATCGTTCTCTTGGAGAGGGGCCAGAAATGGAAATTTCAGAAAATTAGGGACAGAGGAGGAGGAGCGGAGACGAGCACGCAGACCACCCAGAGGACTGAGATGGAGAGATGGAGGGGAATAAAGGATGAAGAAATGGATGAAAAGAGAAACCTGTTCACACAGACGACACTTGGCTTTTACCAAAATTGTAAACTGTCAGTCAATGAAGGACATGTTTAGTCTTCCTCTGTGTGAACAGGGCCTCACATAATAACATGGAAAAAAGGTCAATATAAGGATTGAACAATCCATAAGTGTTGAACAGAAAAGCAGTTCAGTGCAGCTCACCGTCTTGTATTGAGACGAGCTCCAGCAGAAGGTGAGGAAGGATGATGAGGAAGGAGAGGAGAGTGAGATGAAGGGCAGGGAGGAACAGGAGGAAGGGTGGAGTCCGCTGGGACATGTCTGAGAAACAGTGCAGCAACAGAACCAGAAAGCAAAGATACTGAAAAAGGCTGAAAACTGACAAAAGGCTGAAGACAGAAAGCAGGACATTTAAAGGAAATGCACTGAAAGCAGAGCTGGGGGAGATAGTTTGTTTGTGTAGATGAAGATCACATCACAAACTCCAGTGTAATATGATTAATAATGCTTAATATAGTCTATTCCTGTTTTAAACTGCAACTAAAACAAAAATAATCTGTATTTATTTGACTATACTTAAAATAGGACCCCACAGATTTAGCTTTATACATATTGTTTTCACATATGCAGTAGTACCTGTAAACAGAGTTCGATGTGTTATATTAGAATAGTTTCCCTTCAACTGTGAACACTCCTACATTACATAACCACACTTTCCGTGACTTTTAAACCTTTGTTAACCAAGGTTCCTTTTAAGTCATTTGTTTTTATTGTAGGCCTACAGACAAAAAAGAGAGAAGAAGCAGAGTTTGGTCAAAGAGCAGTACAAATATCAAAGCCAAGATTTTGAGAAACGACTCATCAGTTTTCTGACAGGAACTGATCTCTATTGTATGCAATAAAGCCGGCTGTATACTCCAATATTGAGTTATATTATATTGATAAAAGATTATAAGAGATGTTCACTACTTGTTTCCTTTTGCGGTCATAGAGGAAACCAAGGTATGACACGCTCTACTGAACATGCGTCAACCACCCGTGAGACTGCCGTCACAGGCTTATTCCTGATTGTCTCCATTAATACAGAGGGGTAAACTATGTTCAGGAGGATACAAGTTGTTAATACCACAAAGCCTGTGAAGACATGCAAGATATTGCTTTAACAGGCAACTGCAACCAATCCCCTCCCATTTACTTAAAGGGGACCTATCATGCAACATGCACTTTTGTACGTCTTTTATACATGAATATGTGTCCCCGGTGTGTCAGGGAACTCACCAAGTGTCAGAAAACACAACCCTCTCTATTTTCCTCCATACCCTAATCTCTAAAAACGGGGCTGTAACGGATCTGATGCAGACTGATACAGATTTGAAATTGTTCTGACGTCAGAAACGGGGAGCTCCGCATATATGGGCAACTCTCCACCTATCAGGGGAATGAGAGGTTGCGTGGCATGGTAACAGCATGGTAACAGCATGTTAACAGCATGTTAACAGCATGGTAACAGCATGTTAACAGCATGGTAACAGCATGGTAACATGATGCTCGTGCCTCGCCCCCCTCCTTTTCAGGGGGGCGTGGTCAGCTGCAGCTCATTTGCCAGAGAATCAGCCCTTGCGAAGACAGGGCTTGAATAGAGCAAATAGAGGGAAATGAGGCATGGCTAAAATGCATGATCTGTTTGGTATTTTGAAAAAAAAACTTCACAGACATGTTTTATATAGGTATGGCCCTACAATATATTATTCAAATATAGCATGATAGGTCCACTTTAAATCCTAACTTAATATCTATAAGCAGTGAGAAACACTTCTTGTGTACTGCACATGATTAGCATGTGAGAGCATGTTGTAATATTTGACACTGGAAATGACGTGGAAATACTTGGATCCAACACTGTATTTCACCTGTACGAAAACACACACAAACAAACAGAAACAAACACAAACCAAACACTCTTCTTACTTGCTCTGGTGTGGAGTGTCGGTGCTGACGGAGTAGTGTCGTACGAGCTTGGGCTTGGTAGCAGCGGTAGGGTTCTGTGGTGAGTTAGTTTGTGTGAACACTGGTGAATACTCTGCTGATGAAGGGGTGGGGGGGTGGCTGAAGGTGCTGGCCCGTCTGCGGAAGCCCTGAGGCTGAGCATCACCGGGTAGAGAGAAGGAGGAGGGCGACAAGGTGGGAGAGGAGTCCAGGAGGTTGAGGTCTCCTGTTGAGTTGTGGCACCTGAAGGGGATGAGGTCAGATGTGAGGAGAAATATACAGTATCATATCCACTAACAGCTGTTTATAGATCCAAGGGACAAACAAGTGTGCAGGGCTTTCTAATTTAAAGAAAGTCCAGGCAAGTTTGCAAATCATTTGAGCAGCTTACTTCTGTTCTCAGAATTGTGTTTCGGGGTGTTTGTGCGTTGGGTGTTGTTTAACGCTTATTTGTGGGGTTAGGCGGTGTGAATTGGCTCTGATCATGTGTTGAGCGGGTGAGCTTATTGAAAAACCCTGACCAACACATCAATACATTTATAAGCTTTGAGCTTGAATTTAGCTCGGCACAATCCACTGTTTGTTCTAAATACAAAAGTGTTTTGTTTGGCATAAAACTGCAGGCAAATCTCTTTGTGTCAGTAACAACGTCTTGTCCTGAAATCGTATGCCGATAGACAGGTGCATGCTGGTCCACTCTGAGTATGTTGTAATTAGTTTACTATGATATAATTAGGTTAAAATAATTTGACAGGCTGCAAATAGCTTTTTGTTTATTTATAATTAATTTACCAGGCAGAGGGTACTCAGTGCACCATGGCTGATTTAGTTAATGTATGTACTTTGTGCAGATCTTTTTTTTGTTGGTTTGATTATCATTCTATTCTCGAGACTTGTCTTTCCCTAAAGACACTTAGATTGTCTATAAATCCCTACTTTAGACTCAGCGACATATAAACACCTATAATCATGAATTGCTGTAAAACAAGTAGAACTGCTTTGACCTTAAAATCACTGACAGGTCTTGTCCTTAAACATAAACCAGTGTGAGGGCATGTGTGTGTGTTTACTTGAGTGGGCTGGTGGGTCTCAGCTGGGAGGAAGCAGGTAAGGGGTCATCTAGACACGCCTGGTCCTGGCTGCTGTTCACTGTGCAGATGGAGGAGCCGCTGTCACTTCCTAAACTGTTGTCTCTCTGAGCCCTGGCCTTGCTGCTCCCCTGAAAAACACCACACACACACACACACACACACACACACAGTTAAATGTAACCAAAGATGACAACAAATGGCAAGACTTCAAGGACATTTATCAAGTTATTCCCCATTTCTGTGTTCCAAATTAACTCCCTGCTACATAGTTTGGGTTTCTCCCTCTGATAAGCATGAACAATTTGTAATTTTCTGTATGATATACTATCCTATGTGTATATACAGTACGTCAATGCTCCTGTAGTATTTTGGAATTTTTTTACGAATTTTTTTTATAATCCACAATATTTTATATTGTTTATATTTGATATACTATTTCTAATTTTCATTTAATTTGTAATTGTTGATTCTCTATTTCACTTATTAAGTATTTGTATTTTAATGTTGAACACACTGATCCTGTAAGAAAATAATTTCCCAAATTGGAATCAATAAAAGTAAAATATCTATCTATCTATCTATCTATCAAAAATGTGAAGATTAGGAATTATAAAATTGAGCTAACATCACAAAGAAGCAAACATGATAGAAAAAAGAGAATAGTTGAGCATTATTGAATAAAAACCAAGGCAGAAAGAGCATTGATACCTTCCAGATTCCCTCCAGAGACTCGGTGAGAGAGCGCTTGGCTCGGCTCTTGAACTGTTCAAGTCTCTGCCGACTGCTGCTCTGCTGCGCCTCCACTGGGGCGGGAGCTGCCTCCTCACTGACCTGCACACAGAGAGCAAGACACTTAGGAAGTTGGTAAGTGAGAGAAAGAGAGAGAAAGAGTCCTCTCAAGTATAGTTTTCTTTTCTTGTTGAACTACTCAGTCATAGGACTGATGACCCTTTAGAGCAGGGTCGTCAAACTCAAGGCCCGCGACTTCATTTGATATGGCCCCCAAGAGCTTGTAAAGAATACAATACGTTTATTATACGGTTACATGCCGCTTTACAGAAGTACGTTGTCCATAAACTACATGTCCCACAATGCATCTCATTTTGTGACATGCGCACTGAAGAGACTTCACCTAGACTTCTACTTTCAGACGTAGTTAATTATGAACTTATTACCCTATCTGATAATAATCCAATGCAGAGGCAATATGTGTAATATAATACATTATTTTATATATATTATATATAGTCTTAAAGTTGCAACCATAATGCTAATGTAGCACGCGATGAAATTGAGTTTGACACCCCTGCTTTAGAGGAAATGTAGAACATAACTGGAATAAAGGAAATAAAAGAAAAAGAGAAAGAAAGAGGTACAGTAATGTTTGTGTGTGAAAATAAATGTAATTAAAGTTACCCGTCTGTCTCCAGGCAGGAGGTGCTGATGGCTCTTCTGCTTCTCCTCATAAAGATTTCTCAAAGAGGCCATCACCAACTCGTTCTCTTCCTGATCACTTTTAGGACGAGCCCTCTGAAACACAGACAATCATTTTTAAATGACATCAACCCCAAAAGAAACGCAGTGATTTTCTGAGCTGATCTATTGATAGTTTAGCGATGTTTGAGTGTTGCAGTTCAGCTACATCACCAGCAGGTGTCAGCAGAGCAATACAGGAATATTTGAGTGCATTCACCTCCCAAGACTTATCTTTAACTGTACAACAATCCCTTGAAACAATGATGGATAAAAAAGATAATTCGGCTCAAGGATCCATTTCCAACAGTAATATTAATGTGATCTGACCACAACACATCCCTACTTTATCGCGGGATAGAGATTGATGTGTTGACAAAGCCATGAAGAGCAAAACAGACCAGAAATATAGAGGGATGAGGTGGCGAAAATAAGTTACATGTAAAGATGAATCAGTGCGCCATTATATATTCCACATGACAGACATGTGATTCAGCAGCGATTTACTTCTGTTGGAAATTGTAGACTGACTGGTTTGTTTGTTTGTTTGTTTGTTTTTTGACACAGAGCAGACGTTACCATGGTGTTTTCAAAGACTGATGCTTGCTCCTCATTGTCCAGAGTGGCGAGGTGTCTCTGAAGCTCCAGCTTGGTTTTAGACGGGGAAAGACCTGAAAAATATTGTAAAGACAAAATAAAAACCCACTGCCGACAAGAATAGCTTCATGTCGGATTTGTTCTACCTAGTAAGTGCGTATTTATAAAAGTATGTAGGGTACTACGGGTCAGTGGTGTGGCCTTCTCATATTGTATACCTTCTAGTTTATTGGTGAGTAATATATGACCTTACACCCAATGCGATGCTGTACTACTCTATATAGATATATACATACATTTGTACACATTAAGAATTGAAGGCCTTATTATAAGTATGTGCATACAGACATAGCACATTCACTTTTCATTCATTTTAAAAATGTTGAAACATTCATCAAATTCAGATGTCAACTTTCAAGTCTCTTTTATTTTACTACAGGCATATTAAAAGGTGTATACAAATGTATAAACTTGACCTATCAACATTACTCCCACCAACAATGAGTTCAAAATGCTTCAGTTTTCTACCTTCTATCCTCTCACACAGTCGGTGGAGCTGCTGCATGGGACAGCTGTCGCACTGCTGACTCTGGGTCTTTGCATTCTGCTGCAGGGCTGCCACAGAGAACGCCTGCTTCAAAGTCAGCATGATCTCGTCCACCTACAAGAGCAAAACACAGTCTTCTTTATGCTTTTTATTTATCCACCTTCAAAAGAAAGCCATTCAATGCCTTTATCAGTTGCTTCTCCCAGTATTTGTACACAGGCTGCTTTTGAGAATTGTATTCCTCTATGAAAAAAATATTTTAACACATTCACCCTATTATTAGGATTAGAGGATTTATTTTACGTTTTTATATTTAATATATTTATTTCCATTCTGTGCCTAAAACAGCCCTGTCCTACTGAAATGTTATGTACGTTTCAATATATGGGGGAAATCTAAGTCTGTGCAGAGACATCTGATGCAGTATAAACCTGGTGGAAGTAACAGAAGTAAACCGGACATTCAAATGTTCCCACAGGTCGTTCAGTTTACTCTGGCAGCAGTTATTTACTGACCCAGTGACTCACTGTTTAGAATAAGAATAGGTATCTATCTAGTATAAGCTAATCACAATGCAGCATTAGCTGACTTTTATACAATAGACTGCATCCGTCTAATGACAAAGGCCTTTTATCAAACCAATGTATTAGTCCATTTGGCAGACCATGACTCAGTGGAGCACAGAGGCACTGAAGAGTTAAAGCAGCATTTGATGTTGATTGACATTAAACAATTTTTGGTTAAAAATATCAGCTTAAAAGGTGGGGTAGGTAAGTTTGAGAAACCGGCTCGAGATACACTTTTTGTTATATTCCATGGAATGCTCTTAACATCCCGATAGCAATGAATATCTTAAGTGCTTTGACAAAAAAAACAAAGTTTGTGCACAGATGGAAGGCTGAAAGGCAGGTAGGCCATCCAGTTATTTTAGCCGGGCCAGCTAAAATGATTGGTCGTGCTTTTTACAGTACTTCGGCTTCCACAGATGACATTTTTGTATGTTTTTTTTGTCAAAGCACTTAAGATATTCATTGCTATCGGGATGTTAAGAGCATTCCATGGAATATAACAAAAAGTGTATCTCGAGCCGGTTTCTCAANGATGACGTAGCATCCTTGAAATATTGGCTTGGAAGCCAGTTTCCTCGAGATTGAAAAACGGCCTGCGACTTATTCACTCAACATTATTGCTAAGGACCTTAATTTTTGATGCAGAAGGATAACTGTAAAGATTGACCTACAAAAAATGATGTATATAATCATGAAAAATAAAATGACTAATTCCTGCACATTGTCACCAGTGGGTAAGATAACAAATATTTCGTTCTGTTTGTGACTAACAGAAGAAAAAAACATAATTGGATGGTGCTGCAGTAATTTAGCATAGCTTTGGATGGTTTCAGGATGAACAGAGGATACATACATTACTATAAGGTTGGCTTACATAGATTTTTCTAAGAAAAAAACAGCTCCCACACAATTCTTTTTTATAGTGCTGTGAAGTGCACTTTTAGAATAAATAAAAAAAGTCCTCATACTCAGTTGTTCATAAAGCAGAGAGGGTGAGAGCGAGCTAAATGAATCCCCTAGTGACTCAGCTAGAGCAAATGCTGACTGATGCTCAAAACGATCTCAGTCATGCTCCTCTACTTAACGGGTTGTGACCTGCTGCCAACCCTTTTTCCTGTTTGTCCTCCAGACAGGAAATGTTGACCAGTGGCACAGGAACAACCAGGGCCTGTAGCTGTCCCCTCAGCAGATACACACATGTTATTGACACTGATGATGATACATCCCGCTGCTGACAGGGGAGAGTGGACAGAATAACCTCATCCTGGTGACATCATCACCTACATTTAAGAGACATAAATGAAATCTTCCATCTCCTCATCATTTTGTGATTCATATTGGGATCAGAATAACAATGAAGGGCCACATGTTCACAGAAAGAATAGCCGTGTTAGTGGAATGTGAGGACATGGGATTTAACGAACATGAACTCACTTGTGTATTACAAACATATGAGTCCTAGGTTTAGGAGTGATAGTGACTCATATCCTAATGATGGCATACGTGGGAAAATCCCCAAAAGCGGAACCGTTCTAAAATAGTTTTTTACGTTTTTCGATTAAAAAAAAAAAGAAATGAAACTGCCTCATTTGACAAATCCGGTTACTAAGAAAAGATCTAAAGGTATTATTTGTAGGCTCCCCTTTATATAAAACCTTATTAAAAAGGCAAATGTCATAAAAGTTTGAAAATTTGATTGGTTTCGTATCTATTTAAACCTGTGTAGCTCATTATTGCTGTCAAATACCTCACCACACACACACACACACACACACACACACACACACACACACACACAAGCACACTCTATAGACCGCAGACACTTCCATTTAAGACAATAACTATATTGTGTTTCTTTGTTTCAGGTGGGCAGGTCTCAGATCTTCTTGGTTAGTCCGGACACCAAGAAAGTTGCCATAGAGAAGAGTTTCAAAGAGATCTCCTTCTGCTCACAGGTGTGAATCACTGCATTTTAAAACATTAACATTTGTATTATTTGTCATTATGTTTTTAAACCTATCCTGAATCCGCTGATCTTTACTTTCCAGGGTATTCGTCACGTGGATCACTTTGGCTTCATTTGCAGGGAGACAGTGGAAGGAGGGAGCTGCCACTTTGTGTGCTACATCTTCCAGTGCACCGACGAAACACTGGTGAGAGACAGATAATGTAGCGAGAGCATTGTAGAACTAGAAAATAATTAGATATAGTGTATAACATGACAATTCACGAGTATTTGCCCTTTTTTTATACATTTTCTGCAGAAAGATTGTGGGGTAATTCCACTGTGTTCATATTAAATCATCCCACTCATTTTAATTTAACATCACCTACAGTAAGTCACCTCTGAATTTGGGCATGAAGCTGCATTTAAAGGTGGGGTAGGTAGTTTTGGAGAAACCAGCTCGAGTGCGCTAGAATTTGAAAATACACAGCCGGAACAAATCTGCCACTTCCTTACAGAGCCCCTCCAACGCACACNTTTCAATCTCGAGGAAACTGGCTTCCAAGCCAATATTTCAAGGATGCTACGTCATCGAGTGCCGCCGAAGTACTGTTCCAATCTCCAGCAATTCCACGAGGCCGCATCCTTGGTTTGGGGGAAATTTCGAGGCTGCACATGGGTAGACTTCGCGTCCTTAAAATCCCCAGAACGCTTTGCGCACGGACCAATTTCAAAAACCCTTGCGGAGAATGGCTGAACCGACGCAGCACACATTTAAATGTAAGTATGTAGTGTTGTAGAACATGTGTTGGTAAATATGTTACCTTGTTACATTTGTTATCACCAAAAATGTGTTCCGTGAAAGTAAAACAAGTTCATAATTAGATAGACATCGTGAGGTATTTATTTTCGGTACAGTTTATGTTGAAAACGTTAGAGAGAGTGGCAAACTTGTTAGCCTGTTCCATTCTTCTTCGTTTTCCGAAGCCGTGGCTTGGAAGCATACTTGCTTCGTTTCTGAAGGAAGTGACTTGGAAGTACGCGACTACCAAACCAGCATCCTCGCGATTGAGAAACGGCTGCAGACTATCGAAACATGTGTGGGAAAACAAGACATTGTCTTCTGTAATATACAATGTTTTTGGCTTTAGTGACAAGCACACAACCATATTTGGGGACATATTAAGAGAGTGTGTGTGTGTGTCTCTGTCTGTCTGTCTGTGTGTGCACGTGTCCATTCATGAATATTACCGTAAACAGCATGGTCCTGTTCTCCTGCAGGCTGAGACACTGTACTCCATCAGAGTGTGTGTGTGTGTCAGAGGTGTTGGTGTGAGAGATCTCAGGTGAGAGTCCATTCTCATCCAGGGCCTGCAGGCAGGGGAAGCTGGGGTCTCTTTTGAACAGGACAGGACGCTTCCCTGCGGTGGGGCTCCCGGCAGCGCCATTATCAACATCGCTACTCCCAAGTCCATTGGACTGAAAGGATAGTGCCTTCCTCAGCCCACCCAATGCCCCACTGTGTCCTCCTTTATCCTCCCTGCCTGAGCCTTGCAACTGGCTGAACTTCTCGATGCACTCATCTATCAGGGCGGGGGGGGCTTTCTTGTGAGCAACACTAACACGGCCGCAAAATAGCACCTCAAACTTCTTGGAGAAGGCTGCCGGAGACAAAGCAGCAGAGGTTGCCACGGAGGTCGTCGTTGTGGAGACCGAAGAAAAACTAGTTTCAGAGGAATCGCTGCCTCCAGAGGAAGATTTGTTGGAGATGGGAGCGATGTCATCGCCGCGGGCCGAGCTCTTGCCAGCCTGCCTCAGCGTACTGATGATCTCAGGAACCTGCAAGGAGAGCAGGCAGAACTTGTAATTACAGTAATAAAACACTTAATCACATGACAGTTGAATTTCATCATATCCATTGAGCATACACTATACTGGAAGTCTGCTGTAGAGCACAACAATGAAGCTTCAGTAAAGGTGAAACTACACGTGATGCGGGTCCCGATCCGTCTTCATTCCTGAACTAAGACAATGTCTCCAAACTCGTCCATACAGCTAGGCTCTGTGCCGTTAACAGCAACATGACAGACTGTTCTGTTGCAATTTGTATGTGTATAACCAATAGGCGCATTCACACCGCAGTACTTTTCCCACAAAGGTTCATGAGAACTTAGTTCATCAGAACTCTTTAGTTCTGATGAACTAAGTACAGATCGCGTTCACACCGGAATAAGTCCCTGGGGGTGGATTAGGCAAATGAAGCCGCTGACGTCACGTCACTTCTTCTTCTGCTTTGGGTTTACTGGCAGGCCGCAAACAACTTCACGGCGTATACTGCCGCCCAAAACCCCAGGCCGGAAGTCCCCGGAGTTGGGGACTGGCTTCAGTAGAAGTCCCAGCAGCTTCTACTGAAGCCTTCCGAGTAAATCGCCAGAACGCCGACACCTCCTCATCTCCACCGCTCCCATGTTTTATTTTGTGTTGCCATAAGTTAGTCTCTCTGCGTTTCTGCGCTGGGCTAATGCTAATGCTTAATGTGAGGATAATAAAATGGTGGCTTCACAACACTTTTTTTGAGTTTTACGGGGCGTGGTTTGCATTCCGCCCAGCCAATCAGACATAGGAGCCTTTTTCTCCCACGAAAGTCCCTGCTCTCTAGCAGGGACGGAAAAGGGGGTAAAAAGGTTCTCATTAACTAAATTTAGTTCCGGCTCTTTTTGGTGTGAACGCGACATTTCGGAACTATATCGGAACTAAAGTGGGAAAAGTACTCCGGTGTGAACGCGGCTTATGTGTCAGCACAAGAAAGGCTCTTGAGGCCTAGTACCAGGTCCGGTTCTAGACAATTTGCTGCCCTAGGTGAGATTTTAGGTGAGATTTTATGTGTAAAGAATAAATGAAAAATCTCTACAAAAGACAAATAAACTGCAAAAACAGAAACTTATTGACATAGGTAATAGACATCAAAATGGCTTCAAATGTATTCAGTATTGTATGAACAGGTTTGAATTGGGGGGTGGACGTCACATCCTCTAGGGGGGTCCGGGGGAATGACCCCCCGAACATTTTACAGTAAAATGCTTCAATCTGGTGCACTTTGAGCACACAATTACTAGANCTGCTCTCTAGCAGGGACGGAAAAGGGGGTAAAAAGGTTCTCATGAACTAATTTTAGTTCCGGCTCTTTTTGGTGTGAACGCGACATTTCGGAACTATATCGGAACTAAAGTGGGAAAAGTACTCCGGTGTGAACGCGGCTTATGTGTGTCTTCTATTTGACCCTTTACATTTGAAACTGTTTAAAAATACTTGAAAGTTGCTTTATCAATAATTCCAAACATTTTTTGTCATTTGTGCAACTTGTAGAAAAAGCAACATTCTTCTTAATATAACAAAAACAATACCAATGCACACATTTTGACCCAGTTAAGTGTTTGTGGTTGTTTTTTTGTGTATGCATTTGTTGAAGTATTTCTTTCAAAAGTTAGGTTTACGTCCTTCTTACAACAGGTGTAGCAAATTTGAGTTTCACGACAAACATCTGGTCTTCGTGCATTAATGTATACTACATCTCTAATTCTACTGTGATGTTTATATCAAATAAACCCCCAACTACCTAAACGTACACGCTGTATATCTTCAAGCTTAAGTTTCTGCAAGCTAATTGAAAACACAATATCTACTGATGGACCGTTCAAAGTGCCATTTGCCATTGCCAGTATAACGTCTCTTCAGCACTGATGGCTGCCCAGCGGCAATAGTATGTAAACACTGAATATACAGTAAAGACACCAGCTTTTAGCTTTTATCAAAGTAGATGCCACACCTCACTATGATCTAAGCTGCCATATGCTGTAATGTCTTACGGTTCCCTGACATAGTGAAGCCCTTGTGACGTCCTGTGTTGAAAAGAAGCCTTAATATTGACCTTTAGTCTAAAAGCAGGCTTTGTACTCACTTTCACTTTATTTGAATTCCTTCTTTCTTCCTGACTCCTCCTTTCCTCTTCACTCTCCGATACACTTTTTTTCTCTTTCTATAAAACTATTTACTTACAACTGAATTTTACAAGTATCTCCATCTCGATGTGTTTTTTATTGTGTATATTCTAGATGTTCTGCTTAAAAGCTAAATATTCTCAGCGCCTCTATTTGTGTTTAAGTGGGAGAAACAGACTTTTGGAAAAATGGATCCATCTATTCCTGGCCTGCTCAGAAGATTCATGAACCATGACCATTTCCATCACCTACACATACTCCTCATCTTGGCATTTAAACAAAGACAACAATCCAGACACTCACACACAGACCAACTGTAACAGAGACTAAAAAAGCAAATAAAAGAAAGGAAAGCAGAAATATGATAAAAACGTTGTTACCTTGAGAAATTAATTAAATACAAACGGTTTCTGAAGGGTTGCAAGTCCTTGTGGAACAGATATTTAACTTAACACTTAGACAAAAAAGCATGACACACTGATTGTTACATCTTGCATGAACTACATTTGAATGTTTCAATGTTGGGGGAAACCAGAACACTTTTTGGGGGGTTTAGTTCATCATCAGGGGTTTAGTTAGCCATTTATCTAGGGATGCTTGTGAGGAACAAGCAGCACGGTAGTAGATAGTTTCATGTTATGTTCAGTCGGCAGCTGAACATGTATTTGAATATCAACTCTCAAACAATTGCAGTTGCATCGCAGCAGAGAGAAGCACAGCGCTGCCTCTCTGTCCCTCCGAACCCTGTGTCTCTCTCTCTGGCTGGCTGATGTCCCAAAAGGATACACTAGTCAGGATGTGAGCATGACGAGCAATTATATACACTCACTGCTACCCAGACACTTTGTCCAGGAAACTGTAGTACAGAGAGAGATGATGTGTTATAGTGATTTATATGACTTGGCTGTGAATTGTGTTTTAACAATCTATCTAAACACAAATGTTCATACTTCATAGATACAAGCCGGTTCGGTAAAAAAAAAAAACAGGCAGAATTGGAAACAGAGCAGAGCAGCAGAAAAGGCTTTGTTGCTTTTACCCGACTTCCTGGATATAAGTGTTCAGATTATTATTTCTGTATCCAACAGTAACAAAGTAATTGCTCTGTAATAGAAGGAACATTTACTTGCTACAATATATAATTTCTTTAGTTTGAAGAAGTGTTTTTTGTACATTTTTAACTTAGCAGTACTTCTTGTCCTGCACATTCAAATATTTGTTATTGTTGTATCTAGCAGATACAACATAATGATTCTGTAAGAGCAGGAACATTCACTCGCTAGAATACATATTATTTTGCTTTGCAGTAAGAAGTGCTTCTTTATAAATTTGCTAAATCTAAATGTAACAATACTTCTTGTCCTGGTAATTCAAATATTTTGCATTTGCAAATGTTGGGATGCAGATATGTTTCTACTCATTAACCCCAGCTGGTCTGCAAATAAGCGGACATTGAAGGTTTGAATAAGGACAGCCTTGAACAAATAAATGAAAACTTGGGGCTCTCACACACAAAAACCCTCTTTCTGTAACCACTCTTTCCGTGACTAACACAGAGGATTTCCATGAGCATTAAAGCAGCCTGACACATTGCTTTTGCCAGTTGTAAAAATAGACAAGTAATGGACAAGTAGAAGAAGAATGTTTAAGAAAAATAAAAAAAGAGGCTAGCTAAGGTTAGATAAACAGGCTAGGGGCAACCAGGTCAGTACTTCAACAAAATATATAAATACATACAATAACATTTTAGTATCAAGACTGTAGACTTGAAAGGTGGTCATTCTGCTTCTTAGATCCAGTCAGTTCAAACAAACTCAAATGCATGTCTAAATAGTGACATGCATAGCCTTTTGAGGCAATAAACCAATTCTCATCTATCTGAATATACTTTGTGTGTTCCAAACAGCCATCGTCTCACAGAGATATCAAATACAAGTCTTTATTTGTTAAGCACTTAAAAGCTGTGGCAGTTTTGAGGACACGTGTGAGCCATTCCAAGCTGTTTCAATATTGGTTTGATAAAAACACTTTTCATTCAGATGCATCCCACTGTGATTTAAGTTGAACTATTGAGTCAGTTTAAAAGAAATACAGTAACATGCTAAATCTTAATCCGCCAAAGTTCCAAGAGTGCATCAACAGAACAGTTGGGTGTGGGCAATGGATATTATTACTGATAAAAATAGGTAAAAGTGGCTAAAAAAAAGCGACACCTGAAACATTTCTTATAAAGCTGTCGCTGATCATTGTCAACCAAAATAAAATATCAGCAAACGTGTGTTGCCCTGGCCGGTAACTCAGCTGATAAAGCAGATAACACGTGTTTCAATCAGACCTTCAGCTCTTTGTTTTGGTTTGTAAATAATACTCAAGTACAGTCAATCTGGTCTGTGTGCTAGATAACCTTAAGATCATTGTCATGTGGAAAAAGCTACTGTATACTGTGTTTCGTTCCTTTCATCATGTTGATCTGAATACAGCAGGAACACTCTGTGCTGCTGACTTGTACCATTTTGCTGATCATTTGCAGCATTGAAATTATCTTAAGGCGATTTTACAGAGAATACTCTGCTCTCATCCTAACTGATTGCAGACTTTCGTCTTTAAGAAATAATCTGAGTGACTATCATTATTCCTGCAACAAACAAAAAAAAGCAAGCCGAACATAATATCATAGCTAACACGTTTAAAAAAAAAAAAACTTATAACAAATATAGCTCAGGGGAAGTTGTAGTGGGAAGTTTGAACTCATGTTGTTTTGCGATTGTGTGCATATTGAGTTCATTATGCTAAATAATGCAGAAATGTCAGGACAATGGAAAAAACAACAACCTAAATAGT